CCCGCTTTGGATCCCCTGCAGGTCCCCAAATGGTGCCTAGCCCACAGCAGGTACCCCATGGTAGGTGACTGGTAAATGTTGAGTGGCTCAAATCTGTTTAGAAAAGCCTGTAAATGAAGTAAGCAAACCCCGTTTTGGTGAGGATTGTTGTCTCTGCTTGCACAGGCCAGGGGCATTCTCACCTCAGTGCTTTGGCTCTGCCAACCCCTGTCTGCCTCACCCCTTTTATGGAAATCTTGTACTTCAGTCAAGACCCCCAAACCCTCCCCCACACCCCCTCCGGTTGGCCTGCCCTGAAAGCTCCCTCATCTGGATTGCTATTGAATTTTAATAGTGCCATTCAGCTTTGCTCTGACCTCTTCTTTGTCATGCGTATTAATTTTCTTTCTCCACTGGGCTCTCCCATTCTCAAGGGTAAAGGCCCACAATCCCAAGGGCTTTCTGTTAGTCACTTCTTCTATACCCGGGAGGAATCAGAAGGTCTGACTCTATATGAATCACGGAAGTTCAGTGTCATCAGCAGAAACATCTGTTATTCCAGCCGTAGCTCAGAGTTTTCCTGACTAAGAAACCTACAAGGAAAAGCAAGGCCAAGGCTGAGTTTGGTGTTGATGGGGGCAGGGAAGGGGAAAAGGATGGCTGTGACCTGCCTTGGGCTCATGAATGTTATAGTCCTATTCTTGAACTTCAGTGAGATGCATGCGTCATAGGGGAAACGGGGACGGGGGTGCGGGGGGTCTCTCACCCACTGAAGGAGGCTCCTTTTCAGCTGTCCTGCCAGAGCTGGCCTGGATCAGGCAACTAGAAAGTCAACAAACATGGGGAAAAAAAGCCTTACATAGACAGCAATTCCAAAATGCTCCTCTGTGGGCCTCTCTCCTCATTTACATGCTTCCTTATCAGATGGGAGAAATGTGTCTTGTTTAGACAAGAAGGATACTGGTCAAAGGGGAAAAGTCAAGCTCTCTAGGCCTGCAGTTGTTCAAGCACCTGGAAAGAGCATTCTCTCCCTTAGGGACAGTTTTCCACCTTGCTCCAAACAAAAGCCAGACAGCTAGCCTCGAGCTACACTGTGGAAAAACAAACTCTGTGCAAGAGTTCCTCTCACATCTAGGCCGATCTAGCCCGACTTTTCCAGACCACAAATTGGAACTTGCTGATGGATAAGTATGGGTGGATTTATGACAAGACAACAGGACGGGACATCTGAGACAGGAGGTGTGATCCTCAAGTACACAGGGACCAGTGGTGTGTCCTCACTGTGGGTGCTAGGTCCAATGAGTAAAGAACACGGGAAGTGGTCCAGGCATGTGTTTCTCTGAAGTGGCCTGAACTCCAAGAGGCATGCAGGACAGGAGAGGCTTTGCTTCCTTAGTGTGTAGCTGCTGTTACCCTGGAAACGGCCTTTCTGGCCTACAGGGCCTAATAACATTCCTCAAAGTTTTCAGGAGTTGTGAGTTTTGGAATGATTACATAAACGTGGCTTTGTGGGGGCAGGGCCCTGCATGGGTAATACCCTGCCTCTGGAGTAGGGCCTTGAATAAAAACCCAGCAAAACAAAGGAGAAAATGCAGCCTGTGGTTTAGAGAGACTTTGGGGTTGCAGAATCACAGCTGCCAGATAGGAAACTTCTATGCATCTTTTTGTGTCTCAGCTCCTGAGGTGCCCTAGTGGAATGGGAACAGGGCACATATCCAATAATGTAGAATGCCCGTGGCCATGTACAAGGGCTTTTCATTCTCCAGACATTTACTCTCTGAGTCGCTGCAACTATGTGGTTGGGTAAGAAAGCAGTTGTCATATTAGAGTAATACGTAGTAATGAACTAACCACATGAAATTTGTCCCTACTCATACATCCCTCCCTGCTTACCAGCTGCATGCTTCCTGCCCTGGAATCTGCAGGATGTGGACTACAGCCTGATGCAGTGTAGTGCAGTGGCCAAACAAAGTCAAGAGCTGCTGGATTTCCTGAAGTCAAAGAAAATGATGCTGGGGAATTGCTCCCACCACACAAAGAGTCACTAATCGAGGTCTGGCTGAGTTAGCTGGTTCTGAACCGGAGAGACATCCACAAGCAGGAGGCATGATGGGAGTTTCCACAAGAAGACCCTTTGAAGAACAAAGTATCAAGAGACACTCTTGGTACAACTGATGAAGACCTTGAAGCATTTTTGCCAAAATGACCGTCTTTATGTTGGTGCGCGAAAGTCAAGGGTGACTTAGAGGCCCTTGTGCCACTAGATGTTTTGCTGGGGGAGGAGAGAGAAAAGCTTTGAACTCCCAAACAAACGTATTAGCACTTTATTACTAAGAATTATAGTGCACAATTGCATTTAGATGCTACATTTTGTTAAATTAAAGTTAAATAACTTATTGTTATGATTCAAGTGTCATTTTCCCCACTACTCAGGAATGTTGGTCTCTATTTGAAGTGGTTCCACTTGAAGTGAGCTTTCTCTATGTTGGCTGACTTGAGCTGACAAGGGTCTCCATTATTTCCAGGAGCTGATGGACCTGGGGACTTTGTTTTTCTTTGACCAAGTGAGGATGGAGGGGTGTGGGTTGCCTGTGTCCCAATCCAGGATGGGGGGTGACATTTAGCATCCAAAGCTCAGAAACAGAGCACAGAAGCCTGCTCAAGTGCCTGCTCAACTTACTTGACATCACCAGTGGGGTGTCAGAAAGGCTCCTCAAGCATCGCCTGACATCCCCCACCCCGGCACCTCCTCTTCCATTTGCAATTCCCCCCATTTGCAACCATCTCAGCAACCAGCTAGCCCTGTCTCCAGTTTTGCAGGCCCAAACTCATGGACTCCCTTATGCTGCTCCTCTTTCTTTCCTACTCCACATCTGCTTAGTTAATAAACCCTGTTGGCCTCACCATCAAAACACCCCAGGTTGTTTTCATGGGTGGCTGCCAACAGGCTGGGCCAAGCCCTGATTTTCTCTCTGATGACTCCTCACTGGCTCTCTGCTTCACCCATGCCCCTGCAGTTGAGAGTTTCAATAAAGAAGCCAGCATGGCCCCAGGAGATCACCTCACTCCTCTGCTCAAAGCCCTCCAAAATTTCCCAACTCACTCAGAGTGAAAACAGCGCTGATGGCAACTCTGTTGTCCCTTGACTGTGTCCTATAAGGCCTACATGACCCGGGCTATCACCTGTCTGACCGCATCCTCTATTCCCTCTTCCTTGATCCTTCTGCTCCAGCCACACTGTCCAGAACACAGCAGGCTCACTCTGGCCTATTCCTATCCTAGGGTCTTTGCACCTCCTCTTTCCTCTGACAGGAATTCTCTCCATTCCCACCCCCCACCCCCGCCAGTAGATGCTG